ACAGAGACTCAGAGAGGGGACACGGACAGAGATGGAGACATCTACGGTGCCAGGATTCAAAGTCGTGGACAGAGGTTAAGGAAATAAAGGTCAGAAATAAAGGTCAACAAATACAGAACCAGAGCTGCAGAACTAGCGAGAGCCCGGGATCCCCAAGCTCTGCAGAACACAGGAGCCCAGGCCGGGGGAGAGGGGCCTGGCCGCACCCAGGAGGCTCCGCCAGAAGGCCGTGACGGTGGCGGAGCCGGTTACCGCGCCTGGCTCGGCAGGGTTCTCTCTGTGGGTGTGCACAGCAAAGCTTCGGCCCGTGGGGCCCGGGTGTCCGGTCAGCTCTACATCCACCACGTGCATGTCCGTGAGGCTGGGACAAGTGGGGCGGTCAGTGTGGTTAGCCTGGACTCAGCCCAACACCCTGCTCACTCTGCTCACCTGAGATCAGCCACAAGCACACCAGTCACCCCATCGAAGCCCAGGCTGGGGGCAGCCAGGGCAGCCGCCGCCATGGTGTTCGAATTTCGGGGGGCGAAGGGGCAGAGCCCGCGGACGGGGCCTTCGTAGAGTACAGTGCGAGGCCCGGTGCTGTGGGCTGCAGCCAGGGGTCCCTCGAGCCGGAAGCCATCGGGGTGTGTGGCCATGGTGACACGAAGGCTCTGGAAGCAAGAGCCCGGGTTAGGGGGAGTGGGGTCTTTGCAGGCCTCCCCTGGTTCCTGGGGAGCCCAGCAGGCCCTCACCCGGAGGCCCCCAGCTGCATCCAATCTCGTGATGTCCTCGGTGCCCCACAGGGCCCCTCGGGCCACAAACACGGCATGGTTCCAGTGCTGTGAGGCCTCCAAGAGCTGCCGCTCTGTGGTCTGGTCACTTAGAGCTGAGGGGGACCCCACCTGGGGTGGAAGAAGGAGGAGAGGGTTGAGGTCAGGGAAGGATATCCACTTTAGGGTGGGGTGAGACCAAGACACAAGGGGTAGGGCTCTGTGTGAATGGTTGGGGTGGGGCTTACCAGGAGATTGGCATGGCGCAGGATTTGTGCCCCAGATTCATGGATTATTTTGGGATGGGCCACTTCCACAACCAGATCAGGGTGCCTGGGAGAGGGGAAAGAAGGCACAGGGTCTTGGAGAGGTATTAGGCCTCTTCTTCCCAAAGTTCCCTCTGAGTCTACTGAGGGCTGCCCCTCTTTTCCCTGGCCTGTGAGGAGAAATGAGATGAATGGGCTCGTCCCGTTTCACATTTGCTTGAACCAAGGCCCAGAGAGGGTCAGGGAATCCCTGAGATCACACAGTGGCTAAGAGGGCCAGGACAGGAGCTTCAGGGAGTTCCACTCACCCATGGCAAGGTCACTGACCTTTCCCCAAGGGCAGCAAGCTTCTGGAGCTGCAGGGAAGGGGGCACGCTCCCTGCCATTCGTCCTGGGTCACGATTCCAGACAAAAACAAGTTCTAGGCCAAGTTCTGGTCCCTGAGCCAACAGGCGGGAGACGAGGGACTGTCCTGAGGAGAGGGAAAGGAGAGGGCTAGAGATCCAGAGAGAGGGGACAGAGACCCAGAGAGAGAGGAGGGGGGTACAGAGGCCCAGAGAGAGGGGACAGAGACTCGAGGAGACAGAGATGGGGCCGGGGCAGAGATTCAGAGGGACAGGAGGACATAGGCCCAGAGAGAGAGGAGGTGGGGGGGAGGGTAGACAGAGATGGGGGCAGGGGCAGAGACCCAGTGTGGTGGACAGAGGCCCTGAGAGAAGGGAGACGGAGACGGAGAGGACAGAGACCCGGGGTGGGGTTGTGGTGGGCAGACCCAGAGACATAGCTAGGGGCAGATGGAGACAGAGAAAAGTGTCTGTGGAGGGCAGAGAGCCTTGGGGGCTTTAGGAAGGGGCTTGGGGAAGGAGGCCCAGGATGGTCAGGGACTCACCGAGGCGGCCGTAGCCCACCACGCCCACCCTCCATGGGCCCTTGTCGGCCATGGCCCTGAGTGTGGTGTCTGTGGCCCGGCTCCCTGGGCTGCTGGCTGCCCCCTGCACGAGGCCCGGGCAGCTGCTGCTCTTTGGACATCTGACCCTTGAGCCTCTGGCCTCACTGTTCCCCCTGCCCCGCAGACCCAGTGTGGGGGCGTGGGCCTGCTGGAGTGGAGGCGGGACAATCCTCCCTGTGCTCTATCCACTTTCCTGGGTCTGGCACAGTGATCACAGTGACCGGGGGTTCCGGGAGCCCTGTGTGCCCCCCTTTCCCCTATAGCACACCCTCCTTGCTCCCTGCTGATGTGGAAAATTTCCTCTGCAGTCCCCTGCCCCCTATCTGGCCGGCCAGGTTGTCATGGAAACTGCATCTTGCTTTGGGTGGGGAGAAGAGATGGTGACAGGGACTCTGGGCTCCGTCCCCTCGCGCTCACCTCTCCTCCTCGTCCTCAGGTGGCCAAGGTCTGAGGGAGGCTTCAAGCTGGCCGTGCCCCCAGCCCTCCCAGAGGCAGCAGGAGCCCTGGTTGCGGCTTCTCCTCGATGTGCCCTTGCCTCAGCGGGTCCAACCTCCCTAGCCCCGCAGCACGGTCCCCTTCCTGCAGCCTCCGCCCCCGTCCACAGCCTCCCTCCGCTCTGATCATCCTTCAGTTCACCTTGACTTGCCACCTTTCACTCTGTCCCCCATCGTGCCACCAGCTGCCTCCCATGTGACATTCTCACTCCCACGTCTGTCCCTCCTGTTCCCCAGCTTGCATCAGCCCAGGAGAAGCCTTCGAGGCCTGGAGAGGCCAAGCACCCCCAACATGAGCCCCAGCCACTGTGCCTCGAGGGTGCCTGGCATCGGAAATGGTGCAGGCTGCGGCAGCACGGGCTCCCTGCCCCCAGCCACCACCTGGTACCCGCTGCAGTGTTTCCATGGCAACCAGGATTGGCGCTGGAAAGAGGCTGGAGAGAAAGAGAGCGTGAACGGGAGCATGGGGTGGGGGGACGGGCACCGGGTGGCGAGAGCCCCAAGTTGACAGGAGGAGAGAGGAGACAGACGCAGACAGAGAGGGGCCAAAACCCTGACACGGCGCCCAGAGGCTGCTGCTGCTGATAAAGGAGGAACTGACTTCCAGAGCCAGGAGCCCCGGGTGTGGGGGAGATAAGATGCCTGGGTGTAGAGAGATCCAGGAAGGGGGCAGGGCCAGGCACCTCATGGAAGTGGGGGCCTCCCGCCATCCCCATCTTCTGACTCCTTCTGGGGCCTGAGTGTCCCCACAGTGCCCATAGCTGCCGTGTACGGAGCCCAGGCTGGGTCACTGCGAGGGGAGAAGGGGGCTGGGCACAGGCCTGTGTGTCCTCAGGGCTGTGTCCCTGAAGCCACCTCAGCATGGGAAGGCGCTAGAAGGCCCTGCATGGCTCTGCCACTCCCTGTGCCTCCCCCAGTGGCGTGAGATGGCAGCCCCGGCCAGCCCCAGCCCTCCAGGGGCTGCAACTCAGGCGCCTTGACCCCTCCAAGAGACATCACCCCCTCCCCCAGTCCCCTCAACAACTGCCCACTGTGCTGGCAACCCCCCCGGCCTGCTCGGGGCTTGCTCCCTGCCCTCTGAGGGCTCTGTTTCTGCCCTTCTGGGCCGCACTGTGGAGCCCCTGATGCCCCAGGCCCACCCGATCCGGCTCTCCAGCCTCCCACTGAACAGGCCAGAAATACAGCTCCTGTGCCCCAGAGGCCACAGCCCCAGCCTCCCACTTGGCCTGCCTCCCCTTCAGCGCCCATCCTCCGGAGCAGCCCTGAGGAGGTCTGCGGTGGAGACTCTCTGGATTGGGCCCTGTTGTGGGTTGCATTGTCGCCCAGAAAGGGAAGCACAGAAGTCTTGACCTCCAGGGCCTCAGAATGGGACCTTATTTGGGAATTGGGTTTTTGCCAAGGATGGAGCTGAGGTTATACTGGAGGTGGGGGCTCCTGGTCCAGTCTGCCCTCTGTCCTTGTAAGAGGGGAAGTTAGGCAGGCTGCAGTGGCTCACACCTATAATCCCAGCACTTTGGAAGGCTGAGGCAGGTGGATCACTTCAGGTCAGGAGTTCAGGTCACCTGGCCAACATGGTGAAACCCCTTCTGTACTAAAAGTACAAAAATTAGTTGGGTGTAATGGTAGGCGCATGTAATCCTAGCTACTCAGGGGACTGAGGGAGGAGATTCACTTGAGCCTGGGAGGCAGAGGCTTTGGTGCGCTGAAATTGTGCCACTGCACTCCAGCCTGGACAACAGAGCGAGACTCTGTCTCAAAAAAAAAAGTCAGGCGCGGTGACTCATGCCTGTAATCGAGCACTTTGAGAGGCCGAGGCGAATGGATCACCTCAGGTTAGGAGTTTGAAAGCAGCCTGGTCAACGCGGTGAAACCCCATCTCCACTAAAAATACAAAATTTAGCCAGGCATGGTGGAGCATGCCTGTAATGCCAGCTACTTGGGAGGCTGAGGGAGGAGAATCGCTTGAAGCTGGGAAGCAGAGGTTGCAGTGAGCCAAGATTGTGCCACTGCACTCCAGCCTGGGCGACAAGAATGAAACTCCATCTCAAAAAAAAAAAAAAAAAAAAGCGGAGGAGTTGGACACAGATGCACACAGAGGGAAGAGATGAGAGGCTACAGGGGCAGGTGCTGGAAGACTGGGGTGATATAATACAGCCACCAGCCAGGATAGCCTGGGGCCACCAGAAGCTGGCGAGGCAGGAAGACCCCCGAGGTACCCCCAGGTTTCAGAGAGAACCTGGTCCTCCTGGCACCTTGATCACATCCAGCCTCTGGGACTGTGGGACTATAGATTTCCTTTGTTCTAAGTTCCCACCCGGGTTTGGGTGTGGCGTGGCGGTGCTAGGGGAGGAGTTTAGGAGGAGAGGGAATCAGACCTTCTCTGGGGTCTCCAGCGTGAAGGCTGAGGGGCCTAAGACCACGCGGAGGTGCCCCGCGCCCACCCTCCCAACGGGGCTGCGAGGCTGGCTCTCCAGCCTCTCCTTCCGCCCCCACCCACATTCACTTTGTTTTCTCTCCTCCGTGCTTTCATGACCAAAAAAAATATTTTTTTACTTTTTCCATGTTTTTTTTTTTAAAGTAATTACAGAGCAGGTAGTCGTTGACGCAAACCTCCCTTCAGTATCAAAAGTGTCTGTGGGGCAGGTGGGGCTGGGGCGGGTGGAGGCTGCCACCCTCTGCCGACGACAGGGACCGCCGGCCGGGAGCTCTGGCGACGTGTCCATCTCTTCAGTTTTGAGGGCGGAGGAGTGGGAGGGAGGGACGGGCGTCAAACTGCAAAAACTGAACCGTAAAAGGAGGGTGTCTGGGGCCGAGGGGAAAGGACACCCCTGGAAAAAGCTCCTCTCTCCCTTGGAAGGCGGCGGGCCGGGAACGCTTGGTCGGGAGAGCGAGGAGGAAACGCGGAGCGCGAGGAGGAAACGCCACTTCTCCTGGTCCCACGTCCCCTCCCGTCACCGGGGATTGGCGGGGGTGAGGCGAGGACCCCAGAGACTCCGTTCCTGGAGCCCCACCCTGTCCTCACTGGGGGTCCGAGCCCCAGATGGGGCTGGAAGCCACCTCTCCCCAATTCCCTGCGTGGTCCCAGAAGGTGGGCTGGGCTGTGGGAGGGAGGGGTCCCGGTCAGGCTGCGCCCGGGCTGGGACCAGGGTGGGGGGCTCCACGCCCCTCGCCCGCCAGGCCCCACTGCCTCAGATCTGCGTCTCTTGCACGTTCTCCTTGGAGCCGCTCTTGAAGAGCAGAGGTTCGTGGATGGAGTTGAGGCCGGGCGGGCCTTTGCCCCCACAGCCCCCGCCGCTGGGGTTGCTGCTGTAGTGCGCCTTGAAGGCAGCAGCCACGTAGTGGTGGTGGTTGAGGTGGTCTCGCTCCAGAGCGGGCAGGGCCAGGTGGCTGTCCCCGCCCACGCCACCCCCACCGGCCACGGCGGCCGCGGCGGCCACGGACACGGCCGAGGCGGCGGGCAGCTCGTCCTCCACGTTGATGATCTCCACGGTGCGCGTGGGCCCGTGGTGCTTGTGGAGCTGGTGCTGCTTGCGCAGCTTGTAGAAGGCCACGAGCATCACCGCGGCCATGAACGTGATGGCCACGAAGCAGCCAATGATGATCTTGGTGGTCTTCATGACGTCGTCCAGGTCCTTGAGGGCGTTCTCCGTCACATCCGTGATGGGCACCGTGAACGCCTTCTCCGTGGGCCGCGAGGAGCGCGGGGCGGGTGCCGTGGTAGACGACGAGGCAGGACCGGCCGCGTCCCCGGGCCGGCCCCCGCCCCAGACACCGTCCGTCGTGGGCCCCGGCGGTTCCTTCTCCGTCCCCCGCGGCTGCAGGGCCTCCTCTCCGGGCTGCGTCTCCAGGGTCTCCACGGTCACCGTGGTGAAGTAGGTGTAACCGCCACTGCCCCCTCCAACACCACCACCGCCCCCAGGGCCGCCCCCGCCGCCGCCGGTGCCCCCGGCTGCCACGGGGTCCACGGCCGAGACGTTGAGCGTGGCCGAGGCGGTGGTGTTGCCGGCCGAGTTCGTCACCATGCACGTGTACTGGCCCGTGTCCTGCACGGTGACGTTGGTGAAGTTGAGCGTGCCGTCATGCAGGACGGAGATGCGCACGCGGTAGGAGCCGTGGGTCATGAGGGTGCCGTTGGGCGTCAGCCAGTTGACGGAGGTCATGGAGGTGCCCGTGCGGCATTTGAGCTCGGCAGCCATGCCCTCGGTGACGTTGAGGTCAGTGGGCGGCTCCACGATGACGGGCGCATAGCAGGTGAAATGCGACTGGTCCAGCTCCCCAATGTAGCGCCCCTTGAGGCCGGCGGGCGCATGACAGCGGGCGCAGCACGTCGTGTTGCTGGGCACCGTCTCTTTGAGCCACCAGCTCAGCCAGAGCACGTCGCAGTTGCAATGCCAGGGGTTGTGGTTGAGGTGCACGCGCTCAAGGCGGTGCAGGGGCGTGAAGAGGTCGTGGGGCAGCGACATCAGGTTGTTGTGGGACAGGTTGAGCTCCTCCAGCGACTTGAGGTCGTCGAAGGCGTTGCGCTCGATGGTGGCTACCTGGGCGTGCATGAGCCACAGCTTGCGCAGACTGGTGAGACCCTGGAAGGAGCCCGGGCGGATCAGGTCCAGCCGGTTGCCCGACAGCTCCAGCTCCTCCAGGCGCACCAGGGCCGTCAGGTTGGGGATGTCCTTGAGGTTGCACATGCCCAGGTTGAGGTAGCGCAGGTTGACCAGCCCCTCGAAGGCCGCCTCCGAGATGTACTCCAGCCGCTTGAGCTCGCCCAGGTCCAGGCGCCGCAGCGAGGGCACGCGGTTGAAGGCGTACGAGGGGATGCTCTCGATGGGGTTGTTGCGCAGCCAGAGCTCCCGCAGCTTGGACAGGTACTCGAAGGCCTGCGTGGGCACCGTGGTCAGCCGGTTGTCAAAAAGCTCCAGCGTGTTGAGGCTGGGCAGCCCGTTGAAGGCACCCACCTCGATCTTGCGCACCAGGTTCTTGCTCAGCTGCAGAATCTCCAGGTGCCGCAAGTGCTTGAACGTGTCCGTCCGGATCACCTGGGGAGAGGGAGACACGGATCAGTCACGGAGATACTGACAAGGGCCGTGGGGGGATCACCAAGGTCCCGGGAGCAGGCGGGGTCGGGTGGCTGGATCTCCTGTGCTGTGCTGTGACGGTACGACCACATTGCAACATGGTTTGATGAGTTTCTTATGAAGTTAAAACTGGAGTCAAGGCTGGATGCCGTGGCTCACGCCTGTAATCGCAGCACTTTGGGAGGCCGAGGCAGGTGGATCACTTGAGGTCAGGAGTTCGAGACCAGCCTGGCCAACATGGTGAAACCCTGCCTCTACTAAAAATACAAAAATTGGCTGGGCGCGGTGGCTCAAGCCTGTAATCCCAGCACTTTGGGAGGCTGAGATGGACGGATCACGAGGTCAGGAGATCGAGACCATCCTGGCTAACACAGTGAAACTCCGTCTCTACTAAAAAATACAAAAAACTAGCTGGGAGAGGTGGCGGGCACCTGTAATCCCAGCTACTCGGGAGGCTGAGGCAGGAGAATGGCATAAACCCGGGAGGCGGAGCTTGCAGTGAGGTGAGATCTGGCCACTGCACTCCAGCCTGGGCGACAGAGCGTGACTCTGTCTCAAAAAAATAAATAAATAAATAAATAAAAATAAAAAAATTAGCCAAGTGTGGTGGCCTGTGCCTGTAATCCCAGCTACTTGGGAGACTGAGGCACGAGAATCACTTGAACCCAGGAGGCGAAGTTTGTAGTGATTCGACATAGTGCCACTGCACTCCTGCCTGGGCAACAGAGCAAGACTCCGTGTAGAAATAAACAAAAAAACTGGATTCAAGAATTTTGGGGGACTAGGCACGGGGTGGCTCATGCCTGTAATCCCAGCACTTTGGGAGGCTGAGGTGGACAGATCACTTGAGCCCAGGAGATCAAGATCAGACTGAGCAACAGCACATAAACCCCATCTCTACAAAAATTAAAATAAAATAAAATAAACAAATTAGCCAGGCGTGGTGGCATGTGCCTGTTGTCCTTGCTACTAGGGAGGCTGAGGTGGGAGGATTGCGTGAGTCTGGAAAGGGAAGTCTGCAGTAAGCCCTGATCACACTACTGCACTCTAGCCTGGGCAATGAAGTAAAACCCTGTCTCAAAAAAAAAAAAAA